GCATGAGTTGCCCAGGTTTATGCCAGTGGGCCTTCCTCTCACAGCATTCATGCAGCCTTTTTGTGGCTTAGGATGAGGACAAAGCAAGAAACAACACCGCAGTGGTGTTAAGTCTGCATATACTTACTTGCAGAAGACACAGGGTTCCTGCATAATGTTCTACTGTTTCAGTTCTGCTGTATTGTTTGTATTCTCCCCAGTTATTTATGCTCCCTTCAGACAGGAAGCGTGACGCCAGCTAAATGTGTGCCACTGACAATCACAAAGAGTAAATGTGCGTCATCAGACCAGAGGCAGGCCTGCTCTTAGGGGGGTTGAAGGGTTGAAAACCTGACATCTGAATGTTTAACAGACTTTGAGGCTTGTCTCAATAGGACAGTAAGAAAGTCAAAGAGCAAAGAGTGTAAGTGGAGACACAACTACTACTACAAACTGTACTTTTGTTATGTAATTCCTCTACAGTATTGCAGCAGTGTGTATGCGACTGCTTTTGCTGACTGATGCCTGGAACCATGACAACCAGTAATTAACCTGACAGCAATTTTACATGAATGGCTGAAACAAACAGTAGACCTGCACTATAGGCGCTATCTCCTATATTAAAGCATTCTTAATGACCATATGTTGAGTATCCGTTGACAACAACAGGATTTTTAACTACTTAGGCGACTGGATGTTTTGTGCAAACTCAGACGATTACTGCCAGGCTCATATGTCTTGTTCCCAGAACATTTAAAGCCCATGTCTCACAGGAGTCCTCTGAGAGGTTTTCTGTATCTGTTTATGAATTCCCAGAATGACATGCTTGGCCTAAACTAAAACGTGCCAATGCCTCAGTTCTGTTAATCTACATACATTTACAGTAGCCACTGTAAACACTTGTGCAAACACCAGCAACAAAAGTGTTTTCATTATATTCTACATTGCAAGAACCTAAAGGACACCAACGGGCTAATCTGAATCCAGACTTTTGATACATGTCATTGCCATTGGCTGTGCATAGTGCAAGGTACATCTACTCTTCTACTGCTTTGTTCCTCACCTTCAAGGCCAAAATGTGCTTGTAAGGATTGACAGCATGCAATATCAGGAAACACTGTCTACTATAGGGTCTCTTTTCCCTGTATAAGATGGCTCATGGGTTGCAAGCGTGGGAACACCTCCAAGGTTTTATCATTGTGGATAACGTAGGCAGCATGGTTGTGCAGTGGTACTGTTCATATGATTTCCTCTGAAAAGTAAAAATTCATATCTATCCCCCGTATTTTGAAAAGGCTTCAAATATGTGACCAATGCACTGACAGGAGTAAACAAGGAAGGGGTCCCAAGCGACCTTGTAAGGAGGCAGGTTGGGGTGGTGGATGGATCACAAATATGGAGACTTTCCCCTGGAGATGCGTGTTTGGAACTGTGTGAAGCTTGAGAGAACCTTGAGTCATTTTAAGGCATGTCCCCATCATCTAATCACAATAACATTTCTTGCCTGAACTTAACCTCTGTAATGTTATGTAGCCTACGTAACTTCATCATCATCAAGAACATCATTAGTGGGCCGCAAATTGGTAGGATATCATACGAACTGTTCTATGAGGATACGTCGAGTGGTTAGCCCTGTCGCCTCACAGCAAGAGGCACTGGATGGCTGTCTGTCTCTTCGAGTCAGCCTTGTGATAGTCTGTCTCTGTCAGGGGCAGCTGTGGCTCAGAGGTAGAGCAGGTTGTCCACCAATCGGAAGATCAGAAGTTTGATCCCCGGCTGTCTGCATGCCAAAGTATCCTTGAGCAAGAGACCGAACCCCAAATTGCTCCCGATGGCAGTTCCCAAAAATGGTGCATTGTTGCTTTTTAGACCTGGTTCACTTGGTGTCGAGTCTGGATTATTGCACAGAACAACGAATCAAAAGAGGTAAGCAGGATGTCATACGGACTGACAGGTAACACTGACAGTTCTTGGACAGTTCTGGGGATTGCTTGATCAGCACTTCATGGACCCTTGTAGGCAAATTAAATTCTGACAGACTGACAGCACTTTACTGAACCTTATGTGATTATGTTCCCTGGTGTTTGATGTTTAGGTGTGAGCTGTGGGTCCACATCTAAACTGTGGGTAGACCCTTTTGGGTGAATGTCAATTAAACCTGTACAAAAAGGGAAAGACAAGTTAACCAGTGGACTGCAGACTGGTTTTTTACACGGGAATCTGTCATAAGTAAGCCATCACATCCTGGGATTTGGTGTTGCTTCACAATGCACCAAAGAAGGTCACATTAAAGCTGCGGGAGCTGTGGGATCTGTAGTTACTGTCAGTCAAGACTGCTTACTTTCTCACGCTGACTACCAAGAGGCTGAGAGAATGGAGGCTGCTTTTGTCCATCACGACTTGTTACAATACATTCTCACTCCCAACTCATCAAATATGACAGCTTGGTTAGTGGACCTATGCTTCAAACTATAATTCTCAGTACCCCTCTAGTGTCAGTTTTGGATGCTCAGGGACGGCATGACCATTTCCATATAGTGTCTCTTCCAAATATACCTTTGTGTTCACAAGACACGTAGGTTTCGTCACCAATATAGTTGGAAAAAAAAAAACTTTTACACGGGACACGAGCACAGTGCTCCTGGGTCAAAGTCCTGTGCTTGTTTGACCCATCTACCTCCACCCCTCTATCTTCATACTTTCTCACTTTTTATACTATGGAAGGGTTCACATTAGAGGTGACCTGAAAGACCTGAAAGCGTGGTCTTTCTTATACAGATGCTAAATGGTGCCTCATGGGTTGGAATCAGACGCCGATGGCCACTGTCCAAGCTGCCAAATTTAACACCTGAGGATGAAAATGGCCTGCTTGTGCCTGTTCCTGCCTGAAAGCACATTAATAATTCACTGGATGGGCATTAGTTGTCCCAGATGTGAGAGAACTCCTACCTTTTCCATTCGACTTTGCATCTGGCAAACTGGCATGAGTGTGTTTCCTTCCCTCTGGAATCTTGTAGAAGCTCATAGCATCTGTTACCTTGGATTAGGGCAGCAGTACATGCATCTGGCAGTACATGCTGGCCTACTGGTGTGTGAATAATGTACATACAGTATGTAAATGACATTGTGTGTTTTCTTTGGAGGGTTCATTAGTTATCACTGGTTTTCATAAGCCTTGCAGCAAAAGTAAAACATCAGATTTTTTTTCAGCTTTCATATACTTGACTGCTTAATTTGCAACAAATTTGGTGCACAGTTCCATTGTGCATTAGATGTTCTGTTAATCAGGAGCTACACACTTTGAAACTGAACTTATAATTTAGCGTTAACTGCAGCTAATTGGTCAGCCAACATATGGTTAATGCGAGAGGCACATGCACGTCCTTAAATTTGCATGTGCTGGGAAGAAAATATCTTCAGTGAAACAGGAAAAAATATTTTCACACCACGTGTCTGTTTTCAGTTCAGTCTAGCCATACCTGGTTGCCCCCCAGTCCAGACCTTGGAATGTGCCCACTCCACCATCATGACATTAAACTGGGGTTTCTTGGCTGAAATAAAAAATTATCCATTGAGCTCCATGCGGGGATGAACGCTGCTGTCAAGCTGTTATCAAGTGTTTTTCAAGCACTGTCAAGTGGTGTGCGGGAACCAATAAGGGGCAATAACAAGCAAGGCTGTCCGGAAACAAACTTTTGGGACTTCAAAGCTTGAGTGAGAATTACCCATAGATATTTGAAACTTCACTATCACACTTTCCTCAGACTTGCGGTCATTATGTATATACTTTGCTATTATTGTAATTGTAAGTCTAATGAGAGAGAAGGACAAAAATCAGAATTTAATTTTTTTATTGAAGCGAAACTGGCCACAGAATGTGCCATAATCACATCAAATAAACAACAGCCATACCCCATAGAAAAAAATTTGCTCATAGGTATGCCTGCAGAGAAGTGAAAACATAAAAAGACTGTAGACTACAACAGTGGTGAAAAGTTTTTGGACTATTATTACTTATTTAATGGGCTATTTAGGATTTTTAGGTTTATGCAAATATAATTAAAGAAAAACAAACAAACAAACAAACAGACAAACACATAAAATGAGGCATTTGAACACTAATTTTGACATTGATTACCTTCCTCCAAGCTTCAAAGCATTTGGGACAGCCCTAATTACAACAATGGCGACCATTACAGTCGAGACAGATGCTGCTATTGAGGCTTTTCTAAATTGACATGTCTTCACAATATCGCCTGACATTGCAGGTTGCTTCACTTCGCTTAGCTCCACTATTAACACTCTGGCCGAACCAGTATGGTGGCATGGCTACACATCAGTTTGGACTTATAATGGTGTTAGACTCAGCCAGACACATTGGTTTTTTAATGACTGATTAGGTCCGAGTTGACACAGCGTCAGACTGAAGGTGAAAACAATGTAATGAGTTGACATTCTGTGTGATATCAGGCAACATAATTGGCTTTTCCGCAGTATATGGTTGTCAGGTCAAACGTAAGAACTGATAATACTGTTAGAAAGTGAAACCTGTATCATATGTTGAATACATGATAAATAATGAGCGTTAGGTGATGCAGTATACTGGTATAGTACAACTTTTATTTCACTAAGCATATCTAACAGCTCATAGGGTTTAAGCTGACACACAATCTGACAGTAATACTGTTGCTATTTCTTGTCTGCACTCTCTCTGTGCTGAGGTATGTTATCTGTGTTCGACATAAGACTTGCTGTAATTCCCCATGGTGCAGAATGACAGGACAGAGGGAGAGCGTGTTTCTTTTGGCAAATTATTACAAAAACATGGATGGAGGGATAACGTTGCTAGGAGACCCTGACATCAGCTATTTGTCCTAGAATCATGCTGGAGCCCACGTGCATTCAGACCCACTGTGTGTGCGTGTTCATGTGTGTGTGTGTGTGTGTGCACCTCCTCTTCCCACTGCGTCTGTGTATCCTTGCTCTTGCTCGTACTATAAAGCAGTCCGCATCTCCGTCGCTCTGCTCTCTGCTTGAGTAAAGTCAGGGCTGAATCACAATCAGCTCAGTTGCGCTTGGAGAATGAACACCGGGTGATGCTTGAGATTTTTCTTCTTCTTCCTCTCTTTTTTAAATACAACACATTTTGGCAGGCAGACTTTTGTCAAGGTTACAGAGCAAATATTAACTCCAACGCAAGTCTGTGTCTTCTTTTTCTGAATCAAGTGACTCTTAAATGGAAGGGGAAGATATGGAGTGAAAAAATGATTGAACCTCACTACGGGGACGAATAGTGCTGGTAAACAGAGGTGAAAACGAACTGAAGGAACCTGCGAGTACAGTGGATTGTTTCCCTTGAGGTATTCCATGACCAAGCTCATAGAAGACATCCGTCTGCCTCTCAGCATACGCTCTGCTCCTTATGAACTAATCCCCAGGGCTCTCTGGCGGCTTCCATATCTCGCAAGTGAGCAGCACAGCATGCTTTCAAGCTCTGAGGGGTGATGTGGCAGCAGCAGGGGGGCAGATTTATTCAGCCGCAATTGAAGAAAAAAAGCACTTCCATCATCTCTCATTCACTTCCTATTCTTTTGTGTCCTCCCTGATTATGTTCCTGCTTTGGGCTGCGACGAAATGAACCTCTCTCCACAACTTGACGGGTCTTTTTCCGAACTTGTCTTCCAGATATTTCATTCTGTCTCCTCCATACCATGACTTTTTCATTCATGATGCCAAACTTTTCCTTTTGATGCCTCGCTGCTTTCTTTTTCATTGGATACACTCACCTCATAGTCTAGTCTCCATTGTCAGCTTTTTGCACCTTGCGCTTTCGTCTACTTTTCTCCTGTGCATCTCCCTTACCTGATTTATTCCCCCCCCCCCCCCCCCCCCTTATTTTCCTCTCCTCTTTCTCCATCTCTGACTATCCATTTTTCACTCCTTTCTTGAGCCTGAGGGCACCCAGGACTCAGCAGCTGACACATACTGCTCACCGTCTCTCCTAATTGCCATCTCTTCTCGACTTCACTTTTTTTCCCCCATCTCCCTCACGCTCAAACCGCCCGTCTTGTCACGATGTACTCCTCCGAGGAACTCTGGAACTCCACCGAGCAGGTGTGGATCAACGGCTCCAGGGCAAACTTCTCTCTAGGAAGACAAGGGGATGACGATGATGAAGAGGAAGGGGATCAGCACCCTTTCCTCACAGATGCCTGGCTGGTCCCTCTCTTCTTTTCCCTTATCATGTTAGTCGGACTGGTGGGCAACTCTCTGGTTATTTATGTGATTTCCAAGCACAGGCAGATGAGGACAGCAACCAACTTTTACATAGGTGAGTAAGAGCAAAAACAAAAAAAAATACAACCACAAACAGGACATATTTGGGATCAGTGAGTGAGGATATTGACTCTACTATGAATCCCCAGTGCATCAACTTCAAATATATGCTTTAGCTTTTTGATGTCTGTCTCTTTCATCTATGCAGCAACGCTTCTGTGCATGCCAACAGTGGGTTCAAAAGAGCTTCCAGGGTTCACAAAGAGGCTGAATGTAATTTCGCTAAGCAGTAAGCAGTTTTTAATAACTCAAGAGCTCCGGGCTTAAAATGTGTCTCACTTGTTTGCGCTCCTTTGCAGAGGTTTGGCTGTGTATGGGGTTCATGTTGTCAAAGTAATCAATAATAAAATATGTTAAAAGTCCAACAACAAAGTACATCATGGAGTGTGTTTACATGGATATGAACAATGTTGGGGAGTAACTAGTGATGTGTAATATATCTGTTGAAGTTACTGAGAAAAAAGATGGTGATTACAAAGGGGTTATATCCAAATACATACTTTTCTTTAACAGTTTTATATGTGGAATATAACAATCATTATGTTGCTTTGCATCTGTTTGCATCAGAGTAACCAGTAATCTGTAACCCATGACATTTCAAAAGTAACCCTCCCAACACTGTAACCCAGTTACTGATTACTGCAGTCAATTTGCCCAGACATCTGTGGTGTTTACAAAAACAAACCAGCAATGGGAGATGAGAGCGACAGGAAATATTCAACACAGACGTGTTTATTTGCTACTACTTGACAACTTACTGCTAATTTCTCTCTGCACCAGTCGCCAACAGCTGTCTGCTCTCAGCGCATCCACTGTCTCTCTCTCAACCACACACACACACACACACACACACACACACACTATGTATTGAGCTCATGTTATTCTTGAAAGGAGCTAACATTACATTACGCTTATAACACTGATCTCCACACTGGTACCAGCCTGTCACTGTCACTGTGTAAAGGATAGAGGAGCAGTGGATGAAAATACCCAGCCTCGATTCATGTTTCGTCACCATTACAAATGTGAAACCTGGCGCTGCTGCCATTGTTTGGTGTTTCTGTTACGTCACTTGGCTAAAGACGTGCCTGCGCAGACAGTCAGACAGTCAGTGGTGCTCCATAACTAGAATAAGATGTATACATGTAACAGGATCCAGTTTTCTTTTGGAATACAAATAGCTAATAAATACGGGTTGCTCATAAACAAGATAAGGCCTTATCTGGGTTGCTTAGAGATACTGACGGGACACTACAGAAACCTGGTCATAATCAGGTAACTGATGTCCATGTAAACAAACTCATGAATATGAAATGCACTGCAAGTATCTCAATTTTTTTGCATCATGAAAAGGAATTGAATGTCTGGTTTTCATGCAAATGTAGCACCAGTTATAACCAAGTTTAAAAAAAAAATGACAAAAAGGAAAGATGAATTATTGTACGCTTCCATTCCCTACTCATTCATTCGTTTTCTGTAACCACTTCTCCTGTTGGGAGTTGAGGGGGGCTGGAGTCTATCCCAGCTGACATGGACAGGTCGCCAGACTATCACTGCTCATTCACTACTGTTATGTGAATAGTAAGACCTGAACACATCCAGATAAACACTAATTCCCTTGTCAGGTGCCAATAAACTTTTGCAGAGAAGTTGACGCGATGTTGACATAATTAAATGAGCTCAAGTCAAACCTCAAACGATAGTTAACAATGTAGAAAATGTGATGGAGATAATTTATTAATGTACGTATTTATTCAATCCACACAGATCTGATTTTTATGTGTCTCTTCATTTGAGCAGAGGCTTAAGCGGACGTTTAAGTCACATGCGTCATGAACGTCGTAATTTATTCGCCAGTTTCCATTGCACTTTGCGTTTGTTAATACACCAATATACCTCAGCCAATTGTAACAACTTTTTCACAAGATTATTTTAAAATTAATAATGCAAATAAAAGCAAGTGGATGGAGAAATGCGTGTATAGATGTCATCTGGGAATTCCATTAATCTCAGCTGTATCAAGTCAAACAAGAGAAATCAAAGGAGCCCATCAATCATGGACCTGCCTCACGTCCCCTCTGGTTTTCAGTGCACACTGACTTGAAACCAGGGTGATTGATTTTTCCTGTTGAAGTCAATTCCAACATGTCTGATCGAGCGCTGACATGTCACTTGGGAAGAAATGCAAAGGTGATTGATTAACTGAGGTTACGTCCACAGGAGATAAGAATTAAAATAAGAAACATGTTAAAAAATGCATGGCATAGATACATGTATGTGAATAAGCTTGTCTGATTCTACAACTCTAATTTACTGAAGGAACCATTTGTGTCTGTGTTTACATATTGCAATGTGTATGTGACATGAATGTAATCTTGAATAATACTCTCAGGCCAGAGCATTGAATCAGTTTAATATTCAGCAACATTAGATTAGCGCCTGCACCAGCTGCCCACCCTCTAAACATAACGTTCCAGCTCTTATAACAGGATTAGATCAGCTGGTAAAGAAATAGGAAACAGTGTGGCATATTTGTCACAGTGACAGATTAAATACAAAAACAGGGAAAGCAAGATCATACTGATAATATTAGAACCACAACCTCTGCTGTGCGTCCTCTCTGAAGATGAATTTGTGTTTTTGTGTGTATTCATATGAAGATATTGGGCGGGCAATGTGAATTTAAATCAAGCATTTTGTTTTTGTAAGAGCCTGTGTGTGTAGGTGTACTGCACGGCCTGTTGTCAGTCCATCAACAGTTTTTCTAAAAGCAACTACAGCGCATCATCAAGTAAATACATGCTGAATCTGAAGTACTTCAAATGATTTGCCTTGTGAGACAATCCTTTGGTGGAGACAGAGACAACAGTTCAATCATCAAAACAAGAAGGGAGGATTCACTGCATGGGAATTGCTCAGGGTTGCACTGAGCAGAGAGCAAAGGAGGATGTCAAATGTTGTTGTTATACGGCAGTAAAGTTTCTGTCAGGAGGAGTTTGGGTTTGATGGATGAATCAACAATACATCAGGCCAACACATGCTCACTCTGATCTCGTTGCATATCAACATTTGGTCATGGACTTTCCATGTCCAGATACGACATGAAAGATACCCTGGGTGCGTTGGTTGTGACGTTCTGAGAGGCCGTGTCAAGTTTTGCCTGTTACAAGCATGAAATTTACCATTTAGAAAATAAACGCACAAAGTCAGTACAATGCGAATTGACGTTTTTTTCTTCATCAACAACTAACGCATGGTTAGGTTTAGGAAAAAAGAACAGGGTTTGGCTTTATAATCTTATGGGACGCAAACACCGCTCTCCCAGGTGTAAGTCGATGCTTGTTGTTAACTTTTGTTCTTGGCCAGCTGCATTACCTTGAAACTATAACTGCGCCGGATTTAACACGGACTGTAACACGGGAGGAGACCACTGTTCTTTTCCTGTTTGCATCCAACAGTTGTTTTATATACATATATACATATACATGTATATATATATATATATATATATATATATATATATATATATATATTCTTAAAGCATGACCACAATACTTTCTAAACCTTAACCATATTATTTATTATTGTAACCATGGCAACAAAGATGCCCGAACCTTAACATAATTGACATTATAACCATGGATGTATAAAGAGACCTGCATACAGCATTGGAGGTGGGACCCCATTCATTCCTATGAAATTTACTATGTGGCAAATAAAGCAAAAAAAGCTCTATTTCTGTGGTATGAAATAACCAAAATGATGAGCGCTGCTTCCGCATCATTGGGCCAAAAGTGCAAGCACACTAGTGACTTCCAAAGGCTGAGCCAGCTACTTCCGGTTTAGCACTCCTCTAACTTGAATGGGGATAAAATGATATAATCTTACAGCTCTTCTAGACTTTCTAAATGCTATCTGAAAGAATGGCTCAGAAAGTTCAGGACAGTCTTAAGGGTTTAATCTTAAGTGAGCGCATTGTGTCTTTTAAATTCTGATGGTGAAATGAGTCATTTCATGGGGGTTGTGATGCTCTACTGATGGGAAAAAGTCTGTTTGGGCCCAATGACATCATGTGTCAGTTGTAATTCCACTGTTTGGCCACTTCGAAAATTGGCTTCCAAGCCTGGCGTACTTCCTGGGGGCCTGATTTTTTCTGTTTTCTGATGTAACCATTGTGACATCGTAAAACAGACAGTTTTGGAAGGCGCAGACAAATTATATTGTCCTGCCGATAGTGGCACCAGAAAACATGGAGCATGGACAAATTGTGTATTTTGTCATTTAAGTTGGAAAGAGTTTCCCATTAATTCAGAGTGCTGTTGGAATATAACGTTATATTACAATGTGGTTATTCAGAGCACCACACTCTCAGAGTGATAAAGCGCTCTCTGGGCACAGACAGAGCAGCAGAGTAACAAGCGCAGTGAAAGTGAAACTTAATCATTCCTTAATTCATATAGACATAGAATGCTCTATATCTTAGAGCAACAATGTAATCATTTTAATGTACAGCATCTGACTGAATTTACAGGAGCATCCATTGAAAATCAGTCTTGTTTTTTTAGCCTTCTTTAGATTAAATCGGCTGTGTTCCAATAACGTTAATGCAGCAACAGAAAGTTTGCTGATCTGGGTCACCCTCCTCGTGTCAGCTATGGCCACAGAAGCTAATTCTGTGGGAAACACTGTCAGAGGAATTGTTGCCAAGAAAGCCAGCAAATATATGTATTTGAGACAAAACAAGGGATATTTTGCATATTTGTTGAAAAATTACTTGAGTTGTTTTAGCTCTAATGTGGTGTCATTAAGCCTGCACACATAACAATGCACTACCAGATGTCACTGTCAGATAATTAAAAGCATATCCACTCATAGTTGTTCTCTTGAATCTTTGAATAATCTATGTAATATTTTGCTGACACAACCTTAGTCACAATATCTGTGAAACACCAGACAACCTGTATGTTGTTTTCTCTTTGTGCAGCAAACCTGGCAGCCACTGACATCATCTTCTTGGTGTGCTGCGTCCCCTTCACTGCCACCCTCTATCCTCTCCCTGGATGGATCTTTGGCAACTTCATGTGCAAATTTGTTGCGTTCCTACAGCAGGTAAACACATGTCTTGCATTTTTTCAATCCTATCATATTTATAATTATATTTTCCTTGACTCAGAATGTGCGTTCACATGCAAAGAAGTATTATTTTTCTGTGCTTTCTACAAAAGGGACTGAAAAACGGTTATTTATTGGATTTGCTCTTAAATTTGGACAAACCCTGATGATTATTATAATCTGATAAATTTACTCACAGCAATGACATTTAGAACTTTGGTACAATCAGATGCCATTTACCAATAGCAGCCAAATGTTCACTGATTTCATAACTGGACTGTGTGTCATAGAAAAACCCATCCTGTTCATCCAGTCAAGGAGGTCACAGCTTGTCCTTTTGAAACTACAGTAAAGGTCTCAAGAAAGCTTCAGTCTACAAAGAGCCATTGTTGCCTTGAGTGCTGGTTTTTCAAAAGAGTTTCATTTATGCAGTTGGTAGATGATGACAGTAACTCAAAAAGATGTCTGAGCAACAACCAAACCCCAATGGAAGAAAAAGGACACGAGGAGAAGCACAAAACAACTGCTCACTGAAAACAAAATCTACAGGTTGCAATAACATACAATTTAGAGAAATATTTAGATGTGTGCCACCATCAGACCAGAAGGGAGCAATAAACTCTCTACACATGATCAGAGCCATCTTATTTATGTGCTAACTCCCTGTTGGGTATGGACAGCAGTACAAGCAGAAATCGCTGAATAAAGCGGCGCCACTTGCTTACGTTAGCTCCACCAGACCCATGTGGTGAGCAGTGTAGTAGACTGAAGAGTACAAAAATTAACCTATAGACCTACATGCATGTTACGATCAAAAATATTCTCTGCCATTCTCTACTATTTAATCGTTGACATCTCTAATCAGCATTGGAATTTTAACTTGTAATCTCGCCTGGTTGTTGGGGCAGCAGGCCAGACCCAGTGCATACTGGAGGTCATGGTGTGATGAAGCAAACAGGACCACATCATCTGCAAAAAGCAGAGATGCAATTCTGAGGTCCCCAAACTGGACCCCTTCCTCCACCTGGCTGTGCCCCGAGATCTTGTCCATGAATATCACAAATAGGATCGGTGACAAGAGGCAAACCCACAAGAACATGTTTAACTTTACACAGAGTATGCGGACGCAGCTCTCACTGTGGTCATACAGGGACTGGATGGCTTGTTGCAGTGACCCTGGTACCCCCCACAAGTCTTTCCAAGGTATGTCATAAGTCTTGTCCGTGTGCTGATCCCTGGCATTGCGGACTGGCTAATATCACCATCTGCCATGGTCTACCCAGTTGTGTCCTGAGGCATTTTGATCCACAGCAGCTGAGAGCGCTCCTTAGAAATCAAAAGTTAACTGAGATTATCCAGACTAACTCGCATTTTTTATATGGTCTGGTGATGTCAGGAGATTAGTGCATCTTGCACAAATCCATCGTTAAGGAGCAAACAAGGAAAGGCAGCAAACCGTTAACTCCATGAGGCTTATTCAAAGAGGATAGCCAATTAAAATATGCTTAATTACACATGTGCTGATGAGTGGGCATGAAGCTCAGACATTAAAAATGCATGTTTCTCTGCTACATTGTCATTATCCATGCACTAATAACTATAGACTACTAAAAATATGCTCAATTACCACCCAGACCCAAGTAGCTTGACAAGGCACTACTGTAAGTGAGGATCTTACAGAAGAGCTACAGCTCCTGTTTAGTTAATATAATAAGCAGTTGTCAAAAGATGCATAATGTAAACCATCACTGTCCTCGAAAGAAAACTGAGCTTGACTGAAATATGTGGTGAATTCTATTAAATTTCTGTTTGGTTTGGAGGTTGGGTTAAGAGTGTATCTCATTCATTATGGAGCTAAAAGGGAGGAAGAGACGATCTGTCAGACTTAAAAAGAGGATTTTTTTTTCCTTTTGAATGCAGAACGACGGGATGGTCATGACTAATTTGAGTATGAAAGAATAAAGTGTCAGTCTAGAGGCTCGCGGGCAGAATGGCTAAAAGCATTTTTTAATAGAAAACACAGAAATGTGATTTAGTTTATTCATCTGAACATGGAATCTAGTGCCATGTGAGCTTGTCCTTGGTAAAAAAAAAAGACTCCTGAGGATGACTATTGAGCCCGGGCCTTATTTTGGAAAAGAAATTGTCTGTGCAGGAGTCCTCTTGTTGCTTTGTGTGATTTTCTGTCTGTCTCATCAAACCATTTCTCTGCCTTTTATCGTTCAACCATGCATTCTAAAACATTTTAATAAGTTTCTATGAAGGAGGGCATTCCATCATTTATTATTAAATGTGCATGGGAGAAGGTTAATTAGGCTTTTATGGATGATTATGAGACTCACTGGTCTTTTTGCCTCAGTTGCAGACATTTTTCAAAGAAATATCGACGGTTAATCTAATGTCTCAAAATGTCCGCAGTTCGATGAAGAGAACCAAAGGGCAGGTGGAGTGAACTGTGCTTCCTCTGTTTACACCCATCATCAGTCTTTGTTTAAGCAACACTACATGACAGATTGCCCCACTACTGTTACTACTTCATATAGTACAATTGATTGTACCACAGCAGGGAACAGCTGAGGGCTTGAAAGGTTTGTTGATCCACACTGAAGTCTCAGCAGTAACTTAAAAAGCTGAAACCAAAGCTACTATGTTTGCAGCCACACAAACAAGATGTAACGTGGTAATTAGGAAGACTTAGAGGTGCTTCTAGGCAGGGTTTGTTAACTTAGGACAGTGAGAGGTATCCGTCTTATCGAAAGGCCTTTGCACACTGATTCAGTTTTTTCCTGATGTGCTGTTTTAATCCATCATCTGAAAATAACAGTTGCACACAGAAACCTTGCACACTGATTCCAATGTTTTATTTTTTTATTTGCAAGACTTGACAAAAAAAATCTATCTCCACTGGAGTTACCTATCTGGCTGTCACCACTTCCTCCCTGTCTTTCATTTGGCACCGCAGCTGCATGCAGGAGCTGAGCTGTCCTCCTCATTCTGTGTGTAGTCCACATCCTCCTCCTCGTCATCATCATCATCTACCTGTATATTACTATCCAACCTGTTGAAAGTCGGCTGTCTGAGTCATGAAATCATTCTGTGCGCCCCCTTCCTCTGATGGAGGAAGGCTTCTGATGGAAACTTTACGAGTATTTTAGCGCACGAAAGTTTTGCTCTCAGTGTGCATACGTTATTGGCACAAGGTGAAGTCATATTCGGAATAAATCAGTTCAGGGAGGACCCAGATGCAGACTAATGAGCAGGCTGAAGTTTTAACAAAAAGCGAGCTAAAAAACATCCAGAACAGGCAAGTAACTAAAAGTCCAAATGAAAGCAGAACAAAAACTAAACTGAAAACCCACCACGAAAATACATTGAACATGGTTAAAAAATAATCCAAACACAAGATACTAGGCAGGAAACGGAGCATGGAACGACACCAAGAACGACACCAAGAACACGGAGATGAGAGTGGGTATGAATGCAGGACAAACTGACAAAGAACAAAGGGAAACACACAGATATATATACAAAGAAAACTAATCACAAGAACGAGACACAGCTGGAGTAGGTGGATATGGGCAAAAGGAGGGAAATGGGGATTGGCTAAGAACAAGGGTGTGGAGGGGGAACATTGGGGTGGAGCAAAGAAGACTAATACAGGACAGATGTGAAGGAAAGACTCTGGGAACAGGGAAGGACTAATGAGACTGAAAGAAGACAGGTGTGACAGGAAACACACAAAGACAGGAAGTAAAACCAGACATGACACATGAGGAGAGAATCTACAAAATAAAACAGGAAGCAGATTAAACATGAATTAATAACACAAAACAAGGAACACAAACAGAAAACTCAAAAACAAAGGCCATAGAATAACAGAATATAACAGAATTTAAAGCTGCATTAACTCGCCACAGCTGGAGAACGTCATATTAGACGTTCATATTAGGCTATGAAATAGAATTAATACAAAATCCTTCACAGTCACAAGTACAGCGCAAATTTTGCTGCACTGGTGAAGTACTGTACAGGTAATTTTGCACTCTTAACCACATGTTTAACAGCGGAAACTTGTAATAGTAATACCACTTAATGAGGATAATATTAAACTTGCATGCCTGCACAGCCTAGAGAGCAGCATGGGCATGTTTTTAAAAACCTGTTGGTCCGTCCTCTGGCACCATCCTCCCAACTGACTTTACTTTTAGATGCAATGAATTCAGCAGCCTCTAGAGGAGACAAAATGGGCTTTATTCCCTCGTTAGGTGCAAGAAATCTCAAATGCAGTATTTATCGAAACAGGTGTTACTTGAAAGACAAGAATGCGCTGACAAGGGAAAAAAGAAAGTCGGCCTTCTGTCTGTGATTTAATGGGTGAGAAAAGCAACATTAAGTTTTGTACTGCGGTAAAGTTGGACAACAGGACATATGCTAGCTTTCATTCATTCCTGTATTATATTTATTTCTTCTCTGCACAAAGTAGGATAGGACTTGTATTCTATATCTTTTTGAAAGTGAGGAGCTACATCTCTGCTTTCATTTTGGTTTCTTTTTCTCATCCCCTTGAAGAACTCTCCATCTTCAACAAATGGATCCAAGACAGAGATTTCAGCTTTTCACTCCCTTAGGCCTACATCTGCTCTGTGCTGAGAGAAAAGCTTGCAAACACACAACTTCTCTTTATCTGCAATGTTGTCTTGAGATATCATGTTACCGTAATAGGTGATGATTAAAGGAAGAGTGAAACAAACAGCTCCTCGCCATCCTACGTCAATATTTACAACAGTACAGAATATTTAAAAGGGTGGCCTGAATAAATCAGGGGTTTTCTTCAAAGCTACATATGATAAACTATATTTTCAATGATGGTAAAAGATCAAGAGAGAAATGCAGAGGTCCTTCTTGAATACGTTATGTTGACCTCCTTTTCTTTATTATTCTTTATGTATTATTCCTTCTTTTGGTCTTTATTATTCTTTTATCTTTACAAGTTTGATGATGAAAAACTGCACTTCAGGCTGTTATTAAATAAGAGTTGTTAGAGTTGATATATATATATTTTTTTAACAAGAACAGCATGTGGATAATAAATAAATATAACCCCAATAAAATCCTAGTGTAAAACATAATTTGATCTTTCCTCCTCTCACTAAAAGAAATGAGAACAAAGATGTGATAGAAGATAGAGACATGATCTAAATATATTCTCTTTGCAGTGTCCAAGCCCATTCCTCTGAACAGACAATATGCATTGAAGATAACAAGGCAGTGTGTCCTTAATGCACCAGAGTCTTATAAACTGAGGAATCGCGGTACCCCCGTCCTTAGTGGCCTCAACATTGAACTTATCGTGACCCCTTTCTGTCTCTCTCATCATATCCTTTGAAACACTGATGTGGTGCTCCGAACCTCTGAAGGGTAATGGGTGCTGGCTTCACAGTCGCAGATAAGAGGTGGAAAGAGAAATAGGCAAAAGAGGGCCAAAATTAGATCCCCTTTGGAAAAGAGCATCGAGAGAACTTCTGACCTCTCATTTGTTAGCCCTGCTGCACACATTTCAAAGCAATATGGATAAGCTTACCCTTAGCGGTCCGTGTATTTGAAGTGAAGAAAATATCATTTTTGTGAAAAGGATGAAAGTGGAGGGCTGTCTAATCCTCCTCTGCTGAAAATCAGTGTACAGATGTGTACGAAAAGAAGACATCAATAGAAACTCTCCATTCTGAGAGTGCGTTCTACTGCAGAACATAATGACTGAGAGACTTATGTTATAATATATTGGAGACTGAGGGAGTCAAACTCGGAGTAGCCAACCTGAGCATTTCTTTTGTAGCATGAATTCCTCATTTGGCCCTAAAATTAGCATTCTGCTAATGCGTCTGGATTTAATTGAATCAAGCATCATTGAACCCTATTAAAAATGAAATTGAATGATTTGTTCATATGCTAATTAAAAATACTTATCGCAAATGCAGCCTCCGCTCTGCTTCCCGTCTTCCTGTTCCTCTGTGTGTCGCCTCTCCCTCGCTCTTCCTGCATGCTCTTCAGTTTAAAAGCACGAGAGCTCATTAGCAAAGGACTCAGACAAGTTGGAGAGCGAGTCTGAAATAACGCAGGACAAAAAAACGCTGACTGAACTTCTCTTTTGCTTCTTAATGAGGGGTGATTATCTACAACACTGTATGCAAAGGACGCTATTAGAAAGGTGGTGGCCAACCACTGTTGCAATTAAGCCTCCCAAGCTATTTTAGGAGATTGCATTAGTTTGTGACAGGCGCGCTGAGAAAACAACTTCCTCTAATAGCCTGCACTTTTGTATCTACCCAAAAATTGCATTACTTCTGGCACTAGAAATTGTCCGACATCTTACATCTGTTGTACAACTTTTGCTCCATGAACTTTACTTATATACACTCAGTGTTTGGTGAAGTCTCTATGGATAAATCCAAAGGATTGTCCACAGGAAGTGCTGCAGTTATTGTCAGTGGTAGAAACTGTGATGTGTGGGTGTTCTATGGAAAGAATATCTATAATGCCGGCCATGCTCTAGAGGACTTTGAAAAGACTTTGACATACTTTTAAAAGACTACAGTCTGACACCCCTTCACATCTAAAAACAATGAGTTTTTATTCACACTATAGGATTTTGCAAAGACTGGGGATCCTGCAGGGTCACTGTTACCAAGACAACAGCTAGATTGCTCTTGAGATTGTTTCCCATCCTGCTCCTGGTGGAAAATATTACGCCAAACCCCCTTTGAGAAATATGACATATAAACAATGTCCGCAAAAACACATAACTCTAGGTGTTATATCTTGACTTGACAGTATTTGTGTCAGTTCTCCATCGACATGATTCATAAAGATAAAGTGTAACTTTTCCAGCCTCCATGGTTAACTGTTCTATTTCAGTGGGAGGAGACAGTAGGAATGAGAGGTGAACCATTTCAAAAATAAGGATTTCTTGTCAAATAAGTGCTGGTTGGTGGATCAGACACATGCCGAATTAAACAGACTCTTGTTCACTCATCAGCTCCACCAGTTTCTTATTCTTTTCCAAAGTACAACAGAATTGAGACTTGTTGATGTCTCCCCAGAGTTCTCTTCAAATTGACTGTCTACCTGGTTTGCTGCTTCCTGTTTGGTGCTGGAAAGAGTGCTGTTATTGGTCAATGACAATGTTCGCAACATTGAACTTTACTATTTGCATAAGCAAAGACTAAACAATTAACAATATATTTACAATGATATTAAAGATATTTGCTTTTGGGGCAGCACGGTGGTGTGGTGGTTAGAGCTGTTGCCTCACAACAAGAGGGTTCCTGGTTCAATCCCGGGAGCCCTCCTGTGCGGAGTTTGCATGTTCTCCCCGTGTTGGCGTGGGTTTTCTCCGGGTACTCCGGCTTCCTCCCACAGTCCAAAGACATGCAGGTTGTGGATAGCTTACTTGGTGACTCTAAATTGTCCGTAGGCGTGAATAGTCTCTATGTGTCAGCCCATGCGATAGTCTGGCGAACTGTCCAGGGTGCACCCTGCCTCTCACCCAATGTCAGCTGGGATAGGTTCCAGTCCCCCCGCGACCCTCAAGAGGATAAGTGGTTAGAAAATGGATGGATGGATGGATGGATTTGCCCAAATGCCAAGACGAGCTAAGACAATTTGGACTGAGTTTAATGACTAACAACCGGTGAACCGGGTGAGAGTGGACTCAAATTCACGACTCTGGAGACAGTTCGGGTTGAAATACACAGTCTTTACTCATCAAAAGGTGGTTTGGTACACAGAAGAGCTATCAGTGAAGGCAAACAAATCCAACAGGGATGAGGTGGAGGCAGAGGCAATCAACAGACTAAATCCAATAACCAAGAAAAAAATACAACACTGAGGGAAACGAAAGGCTGGACACACAAGGAGCTAAGACAAACTGGCACTGAGACAAACTGACACACCAAATTCCCCCTACTCTAAGGGGAAGGACAACGAGACGCAGGTGAAGTCATCAAAAGGGAGGGAAAACACACAGGGGCAGGAAGTGAAGTGATCTGAAACGAGAGGAAATGTGAGTTTCAAAGTAAAACAGGAAACACCACGAAACAATGAAATAAAAAACCTAACCTAAGAAACCTGAGCTGTGATAATGACAACCTTAGACCAGACAGTCAATGTCTCAGGACCATGGCATAACTCTAGCAAAACCATTCTGATATCAGCAGTAAACGTCATTTATGTGCTGCAGTACTGCAGCAATGAGCTAGCCAGTGGGATACACACATGGTGACTCACATGTACTAACATACACATGCAGCCGGACCATCTTCCCCAACAACGAACAAAGAAGCTTAGATTATAACACACGCAGAGATCCTGACTTCACCCTCTGCTCAGGACGCCATTGTACCACTATGTCTTTACATAGCAAATAGTGGTTTGCTGGTATATTAATATCATATAGAGCTCATTTAAACACGTGCTGCGTCTGAACATAAAATACTTTGATCACGCTTTAGTTGCTATGGGGGGTTATTGGAAAAATGAATAACTGATGTTGTCAGTGGACATTTTTCAGATACAGTCAGTACTGACATTTTGCAACTTGGAAGATATGTTAATTAACAGAATTTCCTCATTATGCTGTTATGTGCTCTCGCCAATTTGTAGAATGGAAAATTATTTGCCAGGAGACAGGGTTGGAATAGCAGTGCATGTCTTTGTAGGGAAGAATATAATCCATGTATATGTTTTACTATCTTTCCCAGGTGACAGTCCAAGCCACCTGTATCACTCTGACAGCTATGAGTGGGGACCGCTGTTACGTCACTGTCTACCCTCTGAAATCTCTCCGCCATCGCACTCCAAGAGTAGCCATGATTGTCAGCATCTGCATTTGGATTGGTACGTCCTGCTTGTTGAATGAAAATGACTCTCCTCCATTCCCTCCAGGAACATTAAGTCTTCATTTCTTAATTAATGAACCACAGTTAATGAATAATTAGGGAAAGGAAAATAATGTGAATGATCTCAACCACTGCAGCTAACGCAGTCCTTGTCCTCTCCAGGCTCCTTCATCCTTTCCACCCCAATTTTAATGTACCAGCGTATAGAGGAGGGTTATTGGTACGGCCCGAGGCAGTACTGCATGGAGAGATTTCCCTCAAAGACACATGAGAGGGCTTTCATCCTCTACCAGTTCATTGCTGCCTACCTGCTGCCTGTCCTCACTATCTCATTCTGCTACACTCTGATGGTGAAGAGGGTGGGCCAGCCCACTGTGGAACCTGTAGATAACAACTATCAGGTACGGACATTTGTTTTGCTTGTTTTGTGCTTAATGTAATTGCTTGACTTGGCTTAAAGTTTTGACTCCAAACCCTCATTACTACTTTTATAATTTAAAGTTAAAAAGCTCTTCTCTTCTTTATATGGTGGCACTACCTGTCCCTTTATAATGTGTGTTATCTTGCTTTGATGTTAGCGGTCTTTGAAAATGTCTTTCAAAGCACTTTTCTTTAAAGCAGCTTTACATAATAACAATGGATCAAATGACTGTGTAATATAAAAGGTGTCGCTCATAGTGACAAACCCACAGAAAATTATAACCCAACTCTGCAGGTTCCTTTAGCTCCGTGGAGCGTTTCAGCATCTTTTAGCCCTTTGCTTTTGTTTTACAGCCTGTAGCTTTGATGTTTAACTTGACCCTCACTACTCCCGTGGTGTTTTCAGCTGCAGCAGGCATCTGTTTTCAGTGTATATGATCTAAAAACCAACTGTACGCTACCTGCACAGGATCAAATGACATGCAGACAAAGTTAGCAACCAGCTGGTTAACATAGTGGAGCATTTAGCAGCTAATGAGTCAGATGAAGAGTTGGTGGAGACCAAAGACAGAGCTATAAGAGGAGTCAATATTATTTTTATCCAACATGACTCCGAATAAATGATCATGTTGCTCTGCGTAACTGATGGATGTGTAAGTTGGCTCTTTCTTATGAATGCGGTATATCAACTTGAAAGGTGATGGTATGTCACTGTTGTGTCTACCACTTGTTTACGCTGCCCCCGACTGTCCAAAAAAAAAATACATAGATTCTGGTGCAAACAGTTTTACAACCTATGTGCCAAACTCGAGGCTTCAAAACGGCAGCCCACAAACCAATGGGTGGCGTCACGGTGGCTACGTCCATTATTTTTACAATCTATGGAATATGCAAACTGATGCCAAGACATGTCTGTTTGAGTTGAAAATGTTCTTAACTTGAGCAAAACATTTGTGCTTGGGCTTTCGTAGGACTTCATCCTGCTGTTCACACACTCAGTTGCTAGCTAGCCTCTCGCTATGTTTATACAGTTGGTACATTGGCTGTTGGGAGGTACAAACTCAGACTGCTCAAATGGTTCAGTGGTCAAATTTACGCAAATGCATGGTAAAAATTCTCTTTGCTTTCTTTCTGAACCATAGACAGTAAAGATGGACGACATGACAGCTCCCCAAACTGAAGACAAAACATATTGATTGCCCCCTTGTGGCTGGTGGCAGTAAAGGTCGTATACCCCATTCACTTCATGTTAGTGGATGAGACATGGGCCAAACTAAAACATCAAAGTACACAACAACTTTCTTTGTTGTTTGTTTTTTGGTTTTAACCAGACATTGCCATAAAAGGGGATGTGTATTCATGATTGACAGCTGTGCGTACTAATTGGTGTGCTTGAGATAAATGGCAATTGTCGGGATTAGTTGAATGGCGCAGACTCTGGCTCTAAATAATGTCAACCGTGAAAGATGGCAGCAGCCGGTACTCTTGAGATATTTTGGCTTTTTGTATAGTAGAAGACAATGGAGATGCATTATCCATCTTTATACACAGTCAGTGGTTTGATCGCACCTCTCCTCTCATCCTTTCCTCTTTAGGTCAACCTCCTGTCTGAGAGAACTATCAGTATCAGAAGCAAAGTCTCCAAGATGGTTGTGGTAATCGTCCTCCTCTTCGCCATCTGCTGGGGTCCCATTCAGATCTTCGTCCTCTTCCAGTCTTTCTATCCAAACTACCAGCCCAACTACGCCACATACAAGATCAAGACATGGGCCAACTGCATGTCCTACGCCAACTCTTCGGTCAACCCCATAGTTTATGGTTTCATGGGAGCCACCTTCCAAAAGTCCTTTAGGAAAACCTTCCCGTTTCTGTTCAAGCATAAGGTCAGAGATAGCAGCATGGCTTCCAGGACTGCCAACGCTGAGATCAAGTTTGTTGCTGCAGAGGAAGGCAACAATAATAATGCAACAAATTAAATCTGGCAATTCAAAATTGCAAGAATGGGATTATTGTTTGCATCAAGAGCTATCGCTGCAAGAAGACAATAAAATACTGAACATTTTCCAGCCATGGGTTCAGTGTGTGAAAGTCTTCAGAGAGCAACTGGTTGATTTCAAAAGGACAGACTGTGTTTGGCAGACATGTTTAAGTTATGTTAATAAATACAACTGATTAACCAATTGATGAGGGGAAACAGAGACTCATAATACAGATGGACACTAACAGTGTTTGGCACAATATATTACCTGTTTGACTGCCAAGGCCAGGCACTAACATCATCTATCGAGCTGCCAAACACCACTGCCAAATAACACAGTCAGACAGTCGTTCACATCGGGTGACGAAAGAGGAGATTTGCCTGAAAACTGCCACCGGGAGTCCTAATCCCTGTAAGATCATGGCTGACAGGGTCATCAGCTTTGTTATAAACTATTCAGCATTTGGACAGCTGATGATATTATGTCTTCTACGACACATGAGAATATGCTTTTTTGGAAATGACTGAAGGCTGAATGTGCATTTTGAATGGACAGTTATTACTCTAGAACAGATGCCTATGACATGTTATTCTTTCATTTATGTGGCTGACATTTGTTCCTATCACTGGAGAGGAGAAGGCAAGTTTAACTCTTTCTGTGTCTGTCATTCTGGGAAGCAGTTAGTACTACACAATTTCTTAGTTATTTCTTAGTTATTTCTTAGTTTGACATTTTGGAAAATAAACCTTTTCGCTTTCTTGCAGAGTTACATAAGACCACTGTGACTGTTAACATATGGAGCTAAAGCCAGGAGGTTATTAGGTTAGCTTAAGATGAAGACTGGAACCAGGGGACACAGTTAGACCAGCCCTATCTAAAATTAAAAAATAAGCAAATCGTGAACTTTTGTTGCATCTCTTTCCCTTATTTCCTTTAATTTTCCCAACAAAAAAACACAAACAACAAAACTCAGATGCACACAGATGAAACAAACAACATATGAGTCAATTCATTTCCAGGCAGATTGTCAGTAGAAAATGTTAGCATTGTACGTTTGTACGTTTGTCATATCACTGCTGACGCCGCACTGTGTTACGGCGTATTGTTGTGTTGAAGAGGGCGCTATGCAGGAAGGCAAAGCTCTCACTGTACCAATCCACCTATGTCCCAGCTCTCACCAGTGGTCATGAGCATTGGGTAGTGACCGAAAGAATGAGACTGCAGATAAATGCAGTTGAAATGAGTTTCCTCTGTAAGATGGGGAGAGGGATGTCTGGCGTATCTTACTCAGCCTGCTGCCCCCAAAAACCAGGCCCTAGATAATGCATGACTAAAATGGATGGATGGATGGATGGATGGATGGATGGATGAATGAACATTTCTGCAAACTACAAATATGTTACTTTTGTGCATGGTGGATGGTGTGACACCTAGGCAAGATGCCTGCCACGCTGCAGACAGCTGCAAATCATAAAGACTAACAAAAGACCAAACTTTTTTTCTTTTAGCCAGTCATCGCTGTTTCCATCAGCGTTGCAGTCACCAAACATGAGGGTTTTTAAGCGACCAGTACCGTGTTTCCAAGGGGATAGTGCCACAATAAGCAATTGCATTTCCTGCCGGGATTATTGTACCAAAACTGGATATTTTAAGCCAAAACGTGATCTTTTTCTCACCATAACCAAGTGGTTTTTGTGCTTAAACATAACCTAATGTTGAGCACAGCATTGTTGAAATGTAAAAAACATAAAGTTTCAAAATACCTTCTAAGTAATAAGATACAACTGTGAGCCTATACATCTGTGGTTTGCAGGAACATAAAATGCCAACATTTATTCTAGCCAGTGAGTTGCTAATTTCCACCCTGTATGCTAAGATAAAGTAAGCACCTCCTGGCTCCAGCTTTGTATATTTGCTGCATTTATGCCATATTGGAGTTACTGTAATTAATTGCAGTTTCCAACTGCTAAATAACATTCACAAGAAAAACTGTGACTTTTCACACAAACATGGATGCCCCATTGATACAAAGTTTGTCATTGAACATTAAAGGAAACCAGTGCACAGAATATGACAGCAAAAAAGCGAAAAGGGACATCTCCCAAACTGTCACATATCCTTTAAAAAACAGGCTGTATTTTGAAGTTGTGGATTTGTTGTAGGGTGGTTCTGCAGGATGGAGCCCCTCTCCTTTCTCTGTTAAACTTGCCAAACAATTAACCAAAACATTTGTTGTCTAAGTTATATTTTCATCCACGATATTGTGAGACCAGTTTTGAAAATAACTCTTTGGTGTTTGTTTGTTGTTTCTTTTTTCACCACATGTAACCTGATGTGAAATGGTAAGCTCAAGATAACACAGGGTTTAAGTTTCTGTTTGGTGAGAATCCAATGAAACAAAGCCGGCATCCGAGTGAATGTGAGTTTCTCTGCTGCCAAACGTGATGAGTGGGAGTTGGCTGAAGCAGGGGTCACAACCGGTGAAGCATGGACAGTGTTTATCTTTCTTTTGTCTCTCACACAAAAACATTCACACCTTCCTCAACACGTGTGCACGGTTTAGAAACACGCACGCACATACACAGTCTTGCACGTGCACTTTCACGTGGTGCATCCAGGTGTTGTTTATCAGAATCAGTTGTCACACCTTTGAGGAAGAACACCCTTGTACGATCTTGTCAGGTGGACTAAATTCTAAACAGTGGAGGCGACCTGTGTGGCCTTTAGAGGAGAACATGTTCAGGGAGCAGCTGTCTGGAGATGGAAATACAGCCATTCTTTGTTAATATATTTACAGAACTGCTGCCAGCTCACCGCTTTTAGATGCAGTCCTTTTCTAAACATCCCACACAGTGACATTCAAAATCAGAACTTCATAGAAAATCTGCTAATGCTATTCTCATTTGAATTTTAGACACTGTGGGACTTGCTGTCATCAAGGCTTCATTTGAATTACATCAAAGTCTCTTGAAAGGAAAACCAGAGTGCTGCTCTTGGCTGCTTTGGCCTAAACAGGCAACTAAAAGCTCTCATTAATTGAGGTAATATTTAAGCATATTTTGCAAACAGCAGAGGACAAACTTTTATCTATGACCGCCAACATGTTCTCTAATAGGAACTAATTACTGTTTTAGCACAGCAAATACTTCCTAGCCACACAAATCAACATGACTTTCTTTGACTGAAAAAGGCACCTTGACTTTAATTTCATTCAAATTAGTTTCACAACTTTAGCAGGAAGTGATAAGAGCTTCATCTATAATTATAATCTTTGCCAATAAAAGGAAATGTCACTCAGTTTCATCAGCATGGAATAAATGACATGACATGAAGGGTATGAAGTGTGTCACAAACTTTATTTATGTAAGTGTTTCTGTGAAAAAGGTCTTAACATGATGATGCTAATGAACGATTGTTGCTTTTTATTGTATACTTATCGTGCTGCATTTCTTCCACAGAGAGTAATGTGCATCCATTGGAACTGATGTCATCAATAATATGTATGTCTCTTGCTTTTCATTAAGTATTCTCTTGTATCTAGGCTTACTCTGACATTGTGACTTTACTTCACGTCTGTTCTGGTTGTTTGGAAATATCTTCACTTACACTTCACCCTCTAACAATAAAACCAAGAGACCATTAAATGTTTGGGTAGGCCAAATGACTTGAACAGCAGTGATGATTTGTTTGTCTTGAATGGTTAAACAGATGGAAAGAGGTGATGGAACTATTTAAAACTGTAACTCACTTTGCTGGTGCCGATCATGCGTTATCCTGCCAGTAGAGATGTTGCTATTGTAGAGCCCTGCATTGAATTATAAAATGGAAGGAGTCTCTTTTTGTCTGTCTGCCTGTCTGTGTGAACGTATGTATGTATGTACAGTACAGGCCAAAAGTTTGGACACACCTTCTCATTCAATGCGTTTTCTTTATTTTCATGACTATTTACATTGTAGATTCTCACTGAAGGCATCAAAACTATGATGAACACATGCGGAGTTATGTACTTAACAAAAAAAGGTGAAATAACTGAAAACATGTTTTATATTCTAGTTTCTTCAAAATAGCCACCCTTTGCTCTGATTACTGCTTTGCACACTCTTGGCATTCTCTCCATGAGCTTCAAGAGGTAGTCACCTGAAATGGTTTTCCAACAGTCTTGAAGGAGTTCCCAGAGGTGTTTAGCACTTGTTGGCCCCTTTGCCTTCACTCTGCGGTCCAGCTCACCCCAAACCATCTCGATTGGGTTCAGGTCCGGTGACTGTGGAGGCCAGGTCATCTGCCGCAGCACTCCATCACTCTCCTTCTTGGTCAAATAGCCCTTACACAGCCTGGAGGTGTGTTTGGGGTCATTGTCCTGTTGAAAAATAAATGATCGTCCAACTAAACGCAAACCGGATGGGATGGCATGTCGCTGCAGGATGCTGTGGTAGCCATGCTGGTTCAGTGTGCCTTCAATTTTGAATAAATCCCCAACAGTGTCACCAGCAAAACACCCCCACACCATCACACCTCCTCCTCCATGCTTCACAGTGGGAACCAGGCATGTGGAATCCATCCGTTCACCTTTTCTGCGTCTCACAAAGACACGGCGGTTGGAACCAAAGATCTCAAATTTGGACTCATCAGACCAAAGCACAGATTTCCACTGGTCTAATGTCCATTCCTTGTGTTTCTTGGCCCAAACAAATCTCTTCTGCTTGTTGCCTCTCCTTAGCAGTGGTTTCCTAGCAGCTATTTGACCATGAAGGCCTGATTGGCGCAGTCTCCTCTTAACAGTTGTTCTAGAGATGGGTCTGCTGCTAGAACTCTGTGTGGCATTCATCTGGTCTCTGATCTGAGCTGCTGTTAACTTGCGATTTCTGAGGCTGGTGACTCGGATGAACTTATCCTCAGAAGCAGAGGTGACTCTTGGTCTTCCTTTCCTGGGTCGGTCCTCATGTGTGCCAGTTTCGTTGTAGCGCTTGATGGTTTTTGCGACTCCACTTGGGGACACATTTAAAGTTTTTGCAATTTTCCGGACTGACTGACCTTCATTTCTTAAAGTAATGATGGCCACTCGTTTTTCTTTAGTTAGCTGATTGGTTCTTGCCATAATATGAATTTTAACAGTTGTCCAATAGGGCTGTCGGCTGTGTATTAACCTGACTTCTGCACAACACAACTGATGGTCCCAACCCCATTGATAAAGCAAGAAATTCCACTAATTAACCCTGATAAGGCACACCTGTGAAGTGGAAACCATTTCAGGTGACTACCTCTTGAAGCTCATGGAGAGAATGCCAAGAGTGTGCAAAGCAGTAATCAGAGCAAAGGGTGGCTATTTTGAAGAAACTAGAATATAAAACATGTTTTCAGTTATTTCACCTTTTTTTGTTAAGTACATAACTCCACATGTGTTCATTCATAGTTTTGATGCCTTCAGTGAGAATCTACAATGTAAATAGTCATGAAAATAAAGAAAACGCATTGAATGAGAAGGTGTGTCCAAACTTTTGGCCTGTACTGTATGTATGTATGTCCTTCGAGTTTTTCAACAATCGTCTGAACTACTTCACTTTGTGGGTGTGCTGCTGCGGGCCCAAGTAACTGAAGTGTCCATTGTGAGCGCCTAAGGTCAATGGGACATATTTATTCATAGTGTGTTATGTACACACTGTGTAGTGAGCTCCTATTAACTGTTACACCACTAAACAGCATGCTGGGTACAGTTTGCTCTCCCTTGCTAGCCCCCATATTGGTAGTCGCCATACAGTGGAATCTCACCCGTCATTTGATGCCATGAGGTCCAGGAAGACCTTTGACTCATACTGTATGGCGGAAGAGACATTTGCAAATCAGTGAATACTCTTCTGTTGAGCACCACAACCAACATGAAATGATTCATACCAGAAATTAATTCATTCAGTCCGATAACTTTTGGAAAGTGTAGAGGAGCCACGACATTGAATCATTTTTCCCCATTCAACTTAGCAAGGCACTAAACCAGACGTAGCATGCCTGCTGTTTAATATTTTCTTATCTTCAGACAGAAAGTGTAGGAGATGAATCTTTTACCTGCTTGACAGTTGTTGGATAAAACAGGCAATCAAAATCAGGAAGCGGGCGAGCGGCACCATCAGCCGGGACGAGGGGGCGTACACCCTCTTGCACACCTGGGATTCCCTCCTCCAGAGACCATCCAGCGGCGGGGGGTGTGGCGGGCCCGACAGATTCTGATAGGTCTGTTGGGCCGGCCAGCTGATAAATGACACGTCAGCAACACGTCGGATGACGCCTCTGAGGAAGTCTGGAGTCACAGTCGAAACTGTCAAGCAGTTAAAAGATACATCTCCTACATTTTTTTGTCTGAAGATAAGAAAATATTGAACAATTCCAAAAAGAAGACAGAATGAACCTTATCAATCTAGCATGCCTGCTGTATGGGCCACACAGTGCAGAGGCAGTGCTGATCATCCGGGTAATTTAATGTGCAGCAGTTGAACTTTTTGGCCTCATGCACTAGTAAGCAACTTTCACAGGAATGAACAGGATCCCATCTCCAACACTGTATCCAGTTTTCTTTATACATCCATGGCTACAGAACTTTCAACAACGATGAAAGAAGAGAGCCCAGAGATGTTACACTGCAGCAAATTCAAACAT